TGGTTTCCGGTAGCCAGCTTATTAAACGCACTGGATGACCGATCCGTAATTAACGATCGTCTTTGTTGCGTCCCGAACACTGCATCTCCCACGGTGACAGTTTCGCGGGGGTTGTAAGGCCCGTTTACTTGGATACGACAGTGTTGTTGGGATACGGTCTACTTTAATACTAGATTTACGGATGTCGATTACATATGTAGCATCGGATTTGGGTTGACTAGAGATAGTATTGTTGGCTTCTTAACAGAATAAAATAAGCTTGTACGCAGAATGACGACTATGAAACAAGAGAGATTCGCTATGGGCACGCTATTCTGATCTTTCTTAGGCTGACTTGGACTTCTTACATGCTCTCTGACTAACACACTGACTAACTTTGACACACTGACTAACTCTGGCACCCTCACTGACACACTGACTCTTGCACCCTTATTTAACACTAGGCTTACGGACGCTATCTGTATACCTATTTCCAAGGACACCTGTCAAATTGGCAGCTAAAGGAAACCACGTGCCTTTTTTTTTAACGATTAGTTTAATTTAAAAACAATTATATATTATATTAACAGTCTTAATGTAAGTTAACTAAATCTGTTACCATCGTGTAATTGGAGCAACCCTTCCATCAAATTCACGGGTTCCGTAAATCTAGTGTTAAACCTTTCACAGTGTGGTAGAATTACGAATTCAGGTCCAAAAAATGTCCAGTTTTTCATGTTCGAAAACACTTGGGCGTGTAATAAAAAATGTCGAAAAACGTATTGTAATTAGTCCGTATTGTAGTCATTGTCAATTGTATTGTTCTGTCTTGCATTCTCTGGTGGAGCTGAACTATCATCGGTTAAGTTCAAGATGTGCTGAGTCTTTGGCGCTGAGTTGATCATCGTGGGTCTGTCTTGACTACCTGTTCGTGATGCTTGCTCGTTTTCTCAGAATTTTCAGGACTTTTGAAACTCTCGTGGTGACTGTAGTCTCGGTGGTTTCATAAGTTTTGTATGTTTACTGATTGATTGGTGTAGCGTCCTACGGTATCGAATCTCTTCGATTTCCAAGAACGCTTATCACGCGCCAAATTAATATTGCGTGACTAGTTGTGATAATAAGGATCCAGAATGCGTGTGGTCAAAGAGAGTGTTTATTTACAGAAAAGCGTAGAATAGTTATAATGTAGACGTTAACGGAGTACCGTTTCGAACACGCGTTTGCATGTGTAATTAAGATGTTTCAAGGATCGGTGCCGAAGACGAACTGACTTCTCGATTTTGCTCCATGTCCTGTCTCGTCGTGTTCGGTCCGGTGTTTTCTCTAGTTTAGTTCTGATTGGGTAAAATAGATGTTGGTGGTGGAAAGGTAAAGAGTTTTAATTGGACAGAGGGTGTGACATAAGGACCTTTGGCTAAGGAGTAGGAAACTGTCAAGGAGCCGATTTCTGATGGTCAATGACGTGATTTATAAGTGCCGTCCGTCCGTCGCTTGTTGGGTCTGTCACAAGTGGGTCCCATCTGTCGCGTCTGGTACTAGTAAAATTCCTAATTTTGCTTTACCTTTGTAAGCTTAATCCGCTAGAACGGCGTTGAGGCACATCGAACCTCCGGAATTGCAGTCGCGGTATAAAATATAAAATAAACCGTTAGGTCTGGCAAAAGTGTAAGCCTTAGAATAAAATTATGTTATAAACACGCTCTCCGGGACGGAACAATTGCTGTGAAATGTAAGTCGTGAATGTGTGTCCTATTGGTTGTGGATAATATTGGATGTTAATGGTGGATGCTTAAACAATTTGAGTCCCTATGCCTATCGTCTTAAGAGTGATTTATTAACCCTTGCTAAGGTTCTCCTAAGTGATGACCAGGTGAACGCTGGCAATAAAGACGTAAAACAGTCCTCTGTCTGACTTCTCGATACCGTCTGATATATTGTGTCTGAATTCTCGATACCGTCTTGTGTCTTGTACTGATTCTCGCTACCGTCGTCTGATGTGTTCTGTGTGATTTCTCCAAACCGTCTGATTCTTCGTCTTGGACTTCTAACTATCGTCTGTCTTGTCTAGTCTAGGTTTGCTCTGATTGGTCGAAAGTGATTGTAGGTGGAGGAAAAAATAGTTAGATTGGACACGGTGTTTTAGCAGGACTTTGGATTAGGAGAGGGAAACTGTGAAGGAAGTTTTCCTTTGGTATTGTTTAGTATTAACACTTTACCGACCGCTAGTGCTTCAACGCACGTCCGATCGCTCAGCCGCAGATTCTCCCTGACGCCGGCTCTGTTCGGTTTAGACTGTCGCACGAGAGTATCTGTGCGTTTCGTATGCTCAGATAAATTTGTAAAAAAGACAGACACTAAGGACATAAAACAGTCCTCCACTTGGCCTGGGACATTGTGGTCCTAGGGCCGCAACAATGCTTACAAAGCTTACAAAGCAACGCAACTAACGCAACTGAGCAACGTACCAAAGAGCCTAAAAATAGGCTATCGGTCGGTAAGCATCGGCGACCAAAGGCTAATTAATAGGCTTCCTAAAGTGTTAACTTGGGGCCTAACATTCAATCCTGGGACCGCAACAGTCCTCGAGATTGAGAATTCACGGGTAGTCGATAAGAATCGAATGGGAGATCGATACAGGGATATTCTCATGTTTCCATCAGCTCTCTGACGGAACATCGTGTACCAGCTTTTGGATATGAATGGGACACGATCCGGGGACTGGTGAATTTTATGGAAACCGATTTAAATCGTTGATCCACCGGAAATGGGGCTCCGAGTAATAAACGGAGGCGCATAACAGAGGCTCGTCGGTGAACTATGCTCTGTTTAACGTGCCGAGGCTTCCACTCTGATTATGAGCGAATGGATATCGGTTTATTGTAATCCTTGTGCCAGTGTTTCACGATCGGAAGCCGACCCGGTGTCTTTTTTCTCTCCTTTTCCTCTGCTTTTTTTCATCACGACCGAGTGAAACGAGTCGCCGTGAAAGATCAAACAGGCGCCGCGTTAAATATTCATAAAATGGAGGTGGTGAAAGCCGATGGCGGAGGAGAACGACGGGAAAAATTGAAGCGCCGGTCCGACCGGTATGAATTTTCATTAACGCGAACTTTCGGCCCGGTCGAAAATCAAATTGACTTCGACGAATTTCAAATGCAATTTGAAATCTCGCCTGAAATCTGCATGCCGCGCGTCGAGACAACAAAGTCTACTTTAATCGTCGTGTTAGTTAAGGAAAAGTTAGGTCACGTCGGCTCGCTAGGTGTCGCTGCCCGGAATCCCCTAGATTCTCCTAGGGAAATGAGGACGACGCCGGTAGCCGGGATAAAGGGGCAATTTTTCCCCGAATTCTCTGGCCTCGCGTGGTTCACGATGAACAACAATCAAGCCAGGCGGGCTCACGAGCGAGCCAGCCAATGGTAAATCGTAATGAGTCCCGCAAATTGTTTTACGAGCAATGTTGGCCGGCGTGCGGTCGCATTACCGGCTGGACCCAGCAGTGTATCAATTACGAAATAACGTCGTTATCGTGGCGAGCCTGGTGCAGCCTAATTAACGAATTTCCAGCTCGAACTCGTCGATCACCCCCGGGTGAGAACCACTGGCAGAATCTCCGAAATTCGTTAAGCCCACAACGAGTTAGGACGATCCGACTCGTTTTGACGGCCACCAAGCTCCTCGAAATATTGGGTTGGCAAGAAAGTTCTTTCGGTTTTTTAGTGTGAAATAAAACTCAATTTTTTCTATACAGTAAATGAACTTTAATCGGTCAAATATCTTCCATTCTATTCGATGACCTTTGCCATCTTTCTGGTAACTTCGTGATCCCGCGCTCGTAGAATTTCTGGTCCTTATCTGCAGAAAACTTAACCAAGTGCGTAAATCTCAGAAGGTCGACCAGAACGTTGTGGGCATCTTTCAGTGAAAAATCTTCAGAACGAAATTTTTTAAACTAATTCTGACACGTGCGTTCTGTTAAACAATCAACGCCATAAACTTCTCGTATCTCTTTGCGAGCCTCAGCCGCATTCTTGCCTTTATGAAAATGAAAAAGTAAAATGTGTCGAAAATGCTTATTTTTGCACCCCGTGTTAAGACTGACCGTGAACTGACAGTTATAAACGAAATTGCACGGAATTTCATGAAATAGCAACCTAAAGGTATCGACTACCACATCTCAAAAGAAAAACATTCTAACATTGACAAAAGAATAACTAAACAAGCATAACATTATTTACTGATACAAACCGAAATTACTTTCTTGCCAACCAAATATATTCGATACGCTTCCGGAGCATCATACGCTGTGGGATCGATAAATTTAATCAGTATAATAGAGAAGAACTACCTAACCTAAGAGACAATCGTCTCGGTCTTACGGTCTAACCGATGCTGTTCCCAGATTTTTGCAAAAAGCTATTGCTACTACTATGGTGAATAATGTCTATAGCTACGTGTCTATGATAACGTGTATGTAAGAGTTAGGTCCCCGATTGTTTATGCTTTCTATAAATATATCGAGGTGGCTGACAGTGGACACGTATAACGGATGTACTTAAAAACTCGACTGAGTCGATTGGAATAAAGAAACCTAACTCAAAGCTTACTTAACACTGGAACTACCATCCCAGTCAACCGAAAGGGTTAAGTTGGATCGGTCGGCAGACGAATCTAAATTCCATCCAGTCAGAGCTTCCAAAACATTGGCTCCCGCATTTTCCCCTAGAAAAATACCCCAGCCAGCTGTTTCCACGCGATCGTCCGAGTCACGTGCAAACTTAGGTTAGACATACAGCGTTCCATGTAAGACCTGCATCGCCTGGTATTATTGTACATCGTATCTAGAGAGCTTGGGCAAGATTTCGAATATCCCGTCAGGATTAGCTTCGCTCCCTGAAAAGTCTAAGAACGATTTGTCAAAGCAAAAGCCCACGCCTACCATCGCAAGAAGCAACTTCTGCTCCGAAGAGCTATATTTTCACGAATGGATGATATTCGTGTGCTGTTCTCGGTTCCAGGTGATCCTCGTGCCTCACAGCCACACGGATCCAGGATGGCTAAAGACGTTCGAGCAGTACTTTCACAGCTCCACCAGAAGCATTTTGAACAACATGGTGTCGAAGCTTCAGCAGTGGCCCAATATGACCTTCATCTGGAGCGAGGTGTCCTTCTTGTCACTCTGGTGGGAAAGGTAAGCGATATAACCTCTATCCTTGGCAGGAAAAACGACTGGAAATTATCGTTGGCCCTTGCAATGAAAACCGGCGTATTCTCGAGGATATAGCCATTCTCCCTAGTCATTCGATTGCCCTGGCCACAAAGCCTAGGCAGCATCGGTTTTTATGCGCACGTTAGGAGTTGCTGCGTACGTGCTTCGCGAAGACGACAGTCGTAAAGGACGCCATTAGGGTAGGACGATGGCGGCTGAGATGGGCCAGCTCGGAAAGCGTCCCCTCGCAAGCATCCGGCAGAATCTTCCACAGCTTTCCTTTTCTCCTGTTTCCTCCTTTAACGATCGAAAGAGGAGCCGAGGATAAAGATGAGGAAGTATCGCGGGCATAAAAGGGAATCGTGAAGGGGCAACGAGATAAGGTTCACCCCGTCTTCCATTCCCGTGGAGGGACTTCTTTATAGAATTGACGAGCGATCAAATTCTGACCAGCATGGCCCGGGACAAGGGATCATTTCCAATTCAGGCAAACGGAAATCGCCTCGATACTGATCGAGAAAGGCGGAAATCGTCCTGATACCGATCCCCTGGTATCCTTCCGTAAGAGGATCACGCGGAAAGCGGAATAGATTTCCTTGGATTTAGCCGTGGACCGTGTGTTCCCGTACCATGGGCTTCTCCGTGGAACGAGGCTGTCATAAAACGGCCCACTAGCACGAGAAATAGCGGCGTGATGCTTTGGGTTAAGGCAATATCCGGCAGATCGAAAACCACCTCCTTCCTCCACGCTACAGAACGCCTTGAGTGAAAATGAGTCTCCGCTATAGGATGTAGCATGGAAATTATGGGGCTGTTAGGGCAACTCTCCTGCTCCTTCGAGGTCCAACGCGATGCCAGCTCGATATTAGGCAGCGAAACGGATTTATTGCAATTGCTTTCTAACGGCATCCTTCTCAATCTCGCCGATAGATGGCTTCATACTTGAAGCAGGCTCGAGGACATTCTCGCAAGTCCTCGGCGAATCCTCGACTCCCATAACGTACAAAATTCCTATGCTGTTTAAGTAAAGCTACCGTCTAAGGCAGGGTCTGCTAGAAAGAATGTACCTCATCTCTCCCTTCTCCTATTTATTTATTTATTTATCTAGTCCGCCATCTGCACCTTACCCACTTAAAATCAAAAGCTGTATAGTTTTCGTGCCTTTCTATACATAGGCAAACACGTTAAGTTTGATTTTAGATCGCGAGTGCTTCACGCTAGAGCCATCGATCTCAGCCTAAGTTTTTATTTGTAATCATTCATTTTATATGTATATTATTGTATCTAGTTTCTGGCGCATTAAACGTACGTTAAATTGGATATTGGCCAACTTAGAAAGCCTTACCGAGTCCACTAACAGACCCAGGACAAAACGCATCCTCTTCCCTGCGTCCTCCTACCTGGCACATGTCATAGCACGACGACCAAGGGGATATCAAACGATAGCACGGTAGGAACCACAGACCATCATCGCAATCTCATGAGAGGGGACCCCCACAGCTTTATATTATCGTGTGTCTCGAAAAGCAAGACGAGGGTACAGCTAATGCACACAGTCTACCTGACAGCTGCCGCGCTAATTGGGATGTTCGAATCTCTGCTGACCCAAATAGCTTCCACTTTCCATCTCCTTGGTATACGCCCAGAATACGTTCTAAAAACGAAAGTACAACTCGAGTACTCTCCAACTGCAATACGGAAAGTGCTCGAGAGTAATCGAGAGTGTTCTATCAGCCTGTATGGAAATGTTGACACCGTGTAGCGATCTCGGTGCCCTGGTGAAGCCGGATTGAACGAAACGGCAATGAAATTACTGTGACCGGAAGTGCACGCGCAGCTCTGCCCTGTGGGCAGAAAAATCACGTGGTACTTTTAACAGCAGCCGTAAATTCTCGGCTACCGAGGATCAATCTGTGCGGAGTGTTAACCGGAAACCTAAAGACGTCTTCCTGGAAATTGACGACTTCCCTGGAATCTGGGTTATCGAGAAGCGGAAACGGCAGTGGCACGGGATTCGTTGGTTGGTTTAGATAGGACATGAACGCGGAAAGGCGGCCATTGCAGCCTGGGCGAGATCACGTAAATCCTGACCCACTGGAATGCGGCCGAGCAATAAATATGATTTGTATCGTGGATTGTATCGTGCGAAATTACAAGTTGCGGCGTAACGCGTTACTCACCCCCGCTATCTGCCATGTAAGTTACAATTACTCGGCCTATATATCACACAGCCGCCGTAAGGTATTCGCGTTTAACCCCCTTAGACGGTGAATTATACTTGGAGGAATGCCTTCGCGAGACCTAGAATCCCAGAACCATTTGCTCCGTCTCGAAATAATTCTACGTCCGAGTAACAACCTGAGAAAAGAGATTGAAAACTGCCAGCGGGGCGTCCCGGAAGTTAGGCGAATTTCAGACCATATATAGCAATTCCCCGTTTCCATCCGAATCGAAGCGTACTAAACGCTGAAACTGCTGACTGGAGATTCGAAAACAGCTGCTAAAGCCGCGTTCTCAGGAAGATTTTCGGCGCTGGGTGGGGTGGTCTTGAAACGAGGAATCACGGCGAGCTGAGGGGTGATCTAGTTGGATCGAGGATAACCATGGTGTTCGTGACCTTAACCCCAAGCGCGGAGGATGCTGGGAAAGCAGAGCGAGATTCGTGTCGATTTTATGGCGAACATAAACGGCCTAATGAGAACAAGCCCCACGCGGGAGTATTAAACTATGTACGCAATGTTTGTTCCGATCTATCACGGATTCTAACGTAGATCTCGTTCAGTTGATGAACCATGGATGATATTATCCTTAAATTTTAGATGCCCATTTTCTAGGTTAACTTTTGGACTTAGAAAGAATCGAACTCCGAATTCGGGTAAAATTTTGAATTTTCTTTCTCTTCTTTCGTTCATTTGTAGCGCTCACCCTACAAAGAAAATGGTGGATGATATTATCCTTAAATTTTAGATGCCTATTTTCTAGGTTAACTTTTGGACTTAGAAAGAATCGAACTTCGAATTCGGGTAAAATTTTGTATTTTCTTTTTCTTCTTTCGTTCATTTGTACCACTCACCCTACAAAGAAAATGGTGGATGGTATTATCGTTAAACTTTAGATGTCCATCTTCTAGATTAATTTTTAGATTTGAAAATGATCGAAGTTTAAATTCGGATAAAATTTTATATTTTCTTTATTTTTCTTCTTTCGTTCATTTGTAGCGCTCACGTTGCAAAGGAAATGGTAGATGATATTATCCATTTTCTAGGTTAACTTTTGAACTTAAAAAGAATGGAAGTTCGAATTCGGGTAAAATTTTGTATTTTCTTTTTCTTCTTTCGTTCATTTGTAGCGCTCGCCCTACAAAGAAAATGGTGGATGATATTATCCTTAAATTTTAGATGTCCATTTTCTAGATTAACTTTTGGATTTAAAAAGGATCAAAGTTTAAATACGGGTAAAATTTTATATTTTCTTTACTTTTCTTCTTTCGTTCATTTGTAACACTCACCGTACAAAGAAAATGGTGGATGATATTATTGTTAAACTTTAGATGTCCATCTTGTAGATTAATTTTTGGATTTGAAGAAGATCGAAGTTTAAATTCGGATAAAATTTTATATTTTCTTTACTTTTCTTCTTTCGTTCATTTGTAACACTCACCGTACAAAGAAAATGGTGGATGATATTATTGTTAAACTTTAGATGTCCATCTTGTAGATTAATTTTTGGATTTGAAGAAGATCGAAGTTTAAATTCGGATAAAATTTTATATTTTCTTTATTTTCCTTCTTTCGTTCATTTGTAGCGCTCACGTTGCAAAGGAAATGGTAGATGATATTATCCATTTTCTAGGTTAACTTTTGAACTTAAAAAGAATGGAAGTTCGAATTCTGTTAAAATTTTATATTTTCTTTTTTTTCTTTCGTTCATTTGTAACGCTCACGTTACACAGAAGATGGTGGATATTATCCTTAAATTTTAGATATCCACTTTTTAGATTAACTTTCGGATTTAAAAAGGATCAAAGCTCAAATACGGATAAAATTTTATATTTTCTTTTTCTTCCTTCGTTTATTTGTAGTGTTCACCCTACAAAGTAGATGATGGATGATATTTTCCTTCTTTCGTTCATTTGTAGCGCTCACGTTGCAAAGGAAATGGTAGATGATATTATCCATTTTCTAGGTTAACTTTTGAACTTAAAAAGAATGGAAGTTCGAATTCGGGTAAAATTTTGTATTTTCTTTTTCTTCTTTCGTTCATTTGTAGCGCTCGCCCTACAAAGAAAATGGTGGATGATATTATCCTTAAATTTTAGATGTCCATTTTCTAGATTAACTTTTGGATTTAAAAAGGATCAAAGTTTAAATACGGGTAAAATTTTATATTTTCTTTACTTTTCTTCTTTCGTTCATTTGTAACACTCACCGTACAAAGAAAATGGTGGATGATATTATTGTTAAACTTTAGATGTCCATCTTGTAGATTAATTTTTGGATTTGAAGAAGATCGAAGTTTAAATTCGGATAAAATTTTATATTTTCTTTATTTTCCTTCTTTCGTTCATTTGTAGCGCTCACGTTGCAAAGGAAATGGTAGATGATATTATCCATTTTCTAGGTTAACTTTTGAACTTAAAAAGAATGGAAGTTCGAATTCTGTTAAAATTTTATATTTTCTTTTTTTTCTTTCGTTCATTTGTAACGCTCACGTTACACAGAAGATGGTGGATATTATCCTTAAATTTTAGATATTCACTTTTTAGATTAACTTTCGGATTTAAAAAGGATCAAAGCTCAAATACGGATAAAATTTCATATTTTCTTTTTCTTCCTTCGTTTATTTGTAGTGTTCACCCTACAAAGTAGATGATGGATGATATTATCCTTATATTTTAGATATCCATCTTCTAGATTAATTTTTAGATTTAGAAAGGATCTAAGTTCGAATTCGGTTAAAATTTTATATTTTCTTTTTCTTCTTTCGTTCATTCGTAGTGCTCACCCTACAAAGAAGATGGTCGTGAAGAGACTGGTGAAGGATGGCAGGCTAGAGATGACCACTGGAGGTTGGGTGATGACCGACGAGGCAACGTCGCACATCTACGCCATGTTGGATCAGCTGATCGAGGGTAAGCGCCGCCATCTTGAATTTTTATCGCTCGTAGACAGCTCAGCATATTTATATAGAACGATATAGAACGATATGAAACTGCGTGAAATGGAAATTGGATATATCGCGGAATGCAATAACCGAGGTTTCCTTTATACGAGAGGATTTATACTTAATCCCGAGATCCTAAGAGCGACGAAGATGATGAGGGTATTCCAGAGAATTGCCATCGTCGCCCTTAACGCTCTCTGATTGCGGAAGGAAAAGGAAGCTAGGGTCGTTTAATGCGAGAATTTTATCGAGTTCTGGGATTCCCCTGATTACAGTCGAGGCTTCCACGATGCTAGCCGCGCCATAATAATTACCGTTCCCCTAAATACGTCCTGGCGCTATCATCGTCTCGAGGCCATTAAGCGCGATCGTGATCCGAGTTATGACGTTTGGGAGTCGTCCGAATTGTTCTGACGATCTTGAGATGGATCTTCCAAGGCTAATATACACGAAATCACCTGAGCCATTCCCTTTCTCAGGGAATGGGATTTATGTTATCGTTGAAGGCGAGTGAAAGAGAGTTGAAGAATTTCGAAGTTAGAATCGCTTGGAAGTTTTTAAACTACAGCAACAGTGGGAATTTTAAATTCATGTTGCGAGTGTAACAGAATAATAACAGTACTCCTCATTCTTCTATAAACAATTATATAATGGAGAAATATATTCCAAACTAAAATAAACATGTTCAGAACACATTCTAGATTCCTTCTTTATTACCAAGTGTAAGGGGGGTGTCTAATAATATTCTAACAAGAAGAACTGGCCGCTAATACTCTTTCCTAATAACTGTCTCTCAATAACTCCTCTCAATGCACTCTCTAGGAACTGTCTAAGCACTGTCTAACAACTGCCTAAGCATTGTCCCGTACGCTTCGCGACCTGCCCTTTTAAAGATGGGCCTCCTTTGTTCATTGATCAAGGGGATCTCTGCTTCGATTTGAGACTCCGGTTATCATTGCTACGTGCTTCTCACTCACGCCGCCTTATCGGTAACCGGAGCTCGCCTAATCTTATATATGTAGGATACCAAAAGAAATCGCGAATCGCCTATTGCCAACAAAAACAAATTGTAAACCGATCGATATCTTCTAGAAGCAAATCGAAAAGTTATTCTATATAACAAAATTAAGTTGCGCGACTCCTCTACGGAGAGGTGAAGCGTAGGTCAAGGAAAGCATAAAAGCGTGGTCCTTGACAACCATAACAGAGTCCTTGGAAATCGGTTGTGACCAGCACAAGCGTGAGTCGCTTGGTGTTGGAAAGAGAGTTTTAAAAGAGTGCGTCTTTGTGTGTTTTCGTTATCTTGGTGTTCTTTTCCTAAGTTAAATCAGTTTACGAGTTTTGAGTTTGCGTTATCATGTTCTTGTTCTTTCGTGAATTTTCGGTGTCTCGAGACCAGTTCTGCCATCCTACATATATTCTTACACAAATTCACTATTAGTATTCACACCTCGTTTCTAATCCAGCCAATTATGTATTAACTCGCATAATTCATTTATAAGAAAGATAATTACACATGTTGCAGTCTAAAGTCATTGAATTTTCAAGTTAGACTCGATTATTTGGTTAGGGCCCAATCACATACTTCATTTATGATAAAAGTAATCACACATGTTGTGGTCTGCAATTACTGAATTCACATGAAGATTAGACTTAATTTTTTGGTTAGGATGGATTGCATTGATTCGCATAATTCAATTACAATAAAATTAATGACACGTATTACAGTCTGATGTCATTAAATCCACAGGACGATTGAACTTGATTTTTTTATTAAGATTGGCTTGCATAATTCATTCACTATAAAAATAATCACGAATATTATGCCTTAAGATCATTGATTTCTCAAGGAGATTGGATTCAATTTTTTGGTTAGGATCGAGTTACACACTTCTATATTTCATTCACAATAAACATAATCACGAATGTTGCAATGGAGAGATATTGAATTCTCAAGAAGGTCAGACTCAATTTTTTGGTTAGGATCGGATTACATTAATTCGCATAATTCATTTACAATAAAAATGATCTCACATGTTACGATCTGAAGTCATTGAATTCTCAAGGAGGTTAGATTACATTGTTTGGTTAGGATTGGGTCGCACGCAAGTATACTTCATTCATAATAAAAATAATGGCAAGTATTACACTCCGAAGTCATTGAATTCTCAAGGAGGTTAGATTCGATTTTCTGGTTAGAATTAGGTCACACTGAATCGTATACCTCGTTCACAATAAAGATAATCACAAATACCAGGTTCTAAAGTTATTGAATTCCCATGGAGGTTATACTCGATTTTTTTACTAGGTTAGATTCGATTTTCTGGTTAGAATTAGGTCACATTGAATCGTATACCTCGTTCACAATAAAGATAATCACAAATACCAAGTTCTAAAATTATCGAATTCTCAAGAAGGTTATACTCGATTTTTTTACTAGGTTAGATTCGATTTTCTGGTTAGAATTAGGTCACACTGAGTCGTATACCTCGTTCACAATAAAGATAATCACAAATACCAGGTTTTAAAGTTGTCGAATTCTCAAGGAGGTTAGACTAGATTTGTTTATTAGGATTAAGTCAAACCGAGTCGTATACCTCATTCACAATAAAAATAATCACAAATATTAGGCTCTAGGATCATTGAATTTTCAAGAAGGTTACACTCGATTTTTAGGTTAGATTTGATCGCACCGACTCGCATACTTAATTCGCAATAAAAATAATCACACATTTCACGATTTAACCTCATCGAATTCGAAGAAAATTATCCTCAATTTTTAATCTATCTGTCAATATAATTGAACTTTCTAGTGAAATTCTATTGAATTGCAATGGCTATAGCAAACCAATAGAATTTTTTCTCCTTATTTATGCAAAAAAGTTAGCTCACCACGATATTAGTCGAAAATGTCAATATAATTGAACTTTCTAGTGAAATTCTATTGAATTTCAATGGCTATAGCAAACCAATAGAATTTTTTCTCCTTATTTATGTAAGCTTACATCTACCAAAATTTCCCGCCATATTTAAACTGGAATTCCCGTTCTCCCTAAACAGGAATTCTCCGCGTTTGAACACGCCGGATCGGTTTAGAAATCCTTCGGGTCTGTTCTAGTCGATACGAACGGGGATTTGTTCGTAACGTGTTGCATTTTCGACGTTGCATATTCACATGCGGAGTATTTGCCGATATATCGGCGTGTAATGCCCGCGAGCACGCATATTGACCGCGACTGGTCTGGATATTTAACGTTCTAAGCGCGAACCAACCGCATACATATTCAGAAGCCTAATAATTGGAAGTTAATATAGCCGAGCTGGTATTATTTCAATGAAACGCGAGGATTGACTATACGGGCTGGCGTGTAAATTGCGAACCAGTTTGCCCTTGAATCGGCAAAATTGTATGGCTACGATTTCAGGTAATAGGTGAATGATATTGAACAACCTAAAAGCTTTTTCAAAAAGAAAATAAATATTTGCAAAATCCGCACGAATGTTAATTTCTTTTTCTTGAATTCTCCCTCTCCCTCTTGTTTAATAATAAGAATTTTTTCAATTTGAATAGATAAATGGGAACTATTCGTAAACTACCCTTTGAATGGAAGTATGGCTTGGGTAATTAGTAGGAGTTATTAGATAGGAATTATTAGGGATTATTAGGGATTAGATCATTAGTAGGAATTAACTAGGAATTATGGTAACAAATAAATGATTTTGAAAAGGATATAAAATCTTGTAATTCTTTCTATAGATCGTACAAGAGTCAAATTAAAATTTTTAAATAGAAATATATTTTTATTGTACTGTTTATTGTATAGTTTCTGTGGGTAGAATATACAATAACATACCAAAGCTTTTAAACGAGAAACTCACAAAATGTATTTCAATTAAACTATTTAAGTAATAAACGTTTCTTCTCTCAATCACTCTTAATAATTATTAATTTTACGTGTTCACTCTTTGGTGTTTCTCAGACAATTGTTTTATTCTCACACATTGTTCTAAACATACTTTCAAATATTATTCACACTAGACGGCACTTGGTCACATTATTTATATGTAATGTTATGTAATGTGTATTATATATATATATATAATCGGGTTAGTTTTTCGAATCGATCTCTTTTTGCGAAGTTAGTTGGAGAAAAAGGAATTAGGTTTGGATAAGAATCACAATTTTTTGGGATGCATGTATATATATCACACATTGCACAATTATAGGACAAATAAGTTTCATTTATTTAACCTCACTCACTGTTTCATATTACTCGTTAAGGTCTACAAAAAAGTGAAGATGATTAGCTTAGAAGATATTTTAATCTGAATATTCGGATACCTATTATTCTAAAATGCAAATGGTGGAAAATAAAGCACCAGAAATGATGCATTTACTTGATTAGTTATTTACGTGTACTTCGTATAATTTTCAATTAATTACCTGTTTTTCTTTTACAATATTTTATAAATTTCGGAAATATTCGTTTATGATTTCATAATATTTTTCATATTATTTATTTCAATTAACGAAGTGTCCACATACCTGTGGGTAATAATGTATTGTATGTATTTTATGTTACATAATTTCATATTTTATGTTCAAAATAATTTCATTTGCATTAGTTCGTATAATTTTCAATTAATTACCTGTTTTTCTTTTACAATATTTTATAAATTTCGGAAATATTCGTTTATGATTTCATAATATTTTTCATATTATTTATTTCAATTAACGAAGTGTTTACATACTTGTGGACAATATTGTACGTATTTTATGTTACATAATTTCATATTTTATATTTAAAACAATTTCATTTGCATTAGTTCGTATAATTTTCAATTAATAACCTGTTTTTCTTTTACAATATTTTATAAACTTCGAAAATATTCGTTTATAATTTCATAATATTTTTCATATTATTTATTTCAATTAACGAAGTGTCCACATAACTGTGGATAGTAACG